TCTCTCTCTCTCTCTCTCTCTCTCTCTCTACCTTTCCATGTATGCCATGAAATGATGGCAAACAATTGACGTGTAAGTGATTTATGATAATTCTTGGATCCCTTAACTCGTCGAAGAACTCAAGCGTTGGTTTCGGGAAATCATTTGAATAGATATGTGGGACGCGTTCACCGATTGGTCGGTCCCGCACTCTGGCCACCACTCCGTCGGCCATTATTAATGACACAATCTCTGAGAGCCAAGTGTTGCCTGATTTGCGATAACCGCAGACCCATATGTCTGTCGGCCGGACAACCATTTGCTTAATACCGGCCAACAATTCAATATAGTTAGGCATGTATTTTGTTAGTATGCCACCATGCTCAATTATATTAAAAGCACTCATTGTGGCCATATATTTAGCTCGGCGTTCATTTTGCGCATTTGATATCGGCTTTGAATTCATAATTAACTAATTATAGAAATAAATATTATTTTCATAAAATTTTCAAATAATTTGACGTAAATTTATTAAATTGCGTAATTACAAGAAAACACGTTAGGTCACACACAAGTCAGAATAACCTTCTAAATAGTTTAATAAACACCTGTGTTAAAGACAAATAGCATTTGCATATGTAGTGCATTAATATTATTAATATACATAAGATTAAAATTATTAATAATTTATAACACAAGATAAGTATAACATAATTTAAAACTTACCAAGAATTTATTTGATGTAGATTATCAATATACAATTAGAAATAATGTATATTTTATGTTTTGTAATTTTAAGATAATATTTTGATATAAAATCCGCTTAATATCTGTTTACAAAACTTAAAATTTAGTCCATTTGAAAAACAATTTACAATGAACATTTTGATGAGTCATTAATATTCAAGTTTAATTATTTTTATTATAAAATTTTCTAAATGTTATTATAATTTTGTTATATACAAGCATTTAGTTTTACATTTTGAGTTGTTTTTTCTATTAAATAGGCATTAAATTCATGTTTGTATACAGGGGTTGGCAAACAATAGTGAATATCACAAAACTATTAGGCTAACATTTTGTGTAAAGTAGTTAACAAATTGATTTGTGCTAAACTAGATAATTTATTTCAGACGAACAAAAGTACACAATGTCACCATTTACACCAACACTGGGTTATTGGGATATTTGGGGTCGCGCGCAGTCAATACGCTATTTACTAGCGTATGCCGGGGCAAACTTTATCGACAAACGTTACACATTTGCGAATAAAACTGATTGGGAGTTGGTCAAATACACTCTCGATTTAGACTTCCCAAATCTGCCCTATTATATCGATGGCGACCTAAAACTCAGCCAAAGTGTGGCTATATTGCGATATTTGGCCCGAAAATACGGTCTCCTCTCAACCAATACCGGACTGCAAGACATGTGCGAACAGGAATTACAAGATATTAGGGAAGGCTTTAGACCAATACTTAAAGCGAAACTATTCAAGTCAATAGATTGCGAAGTGACCATGGCCAATTATTTATCAAATACCCTCGATCGGCAATTGGTACTTTTTGAAAAGTTTTTAGGGCATAACCAATGGCTTATCGGCGGACAGTTGTCTTACGTAGACTTTCTGGCGTACGAAGTGTTTGATTGGTTAAAACGATTTGTACCTGATACAATCGGCAAACACGCAACTATTGGCCAGTATTTGCGGCGCTTTGAAAGCATGCCGGCCATTAAGGCTTACAACACGCTGAGCACTACAATGGTATTAATGGGTGATGTTTCATACAAATATTTTAAACCTACTTGAGTTAGAGCTAATCTATTCTAACTTACCAGGTGGATTTAATAATTGTTGAAACAATATAGAAAATTCTGTGTTAAAAAGAATTTATAATTTAAACCCTTGTAATTGAATTTTAAACACTTAGATGTCGCTAACATACTATATATGCTAAATTAATAATTTTATATTGATTAAACTTTTAATTTATGAATATCAATTAACTTTATATTAACTAAACATATTGCTAAATTAAATTAAAAGCAATCATTATATTTAATAATTTTATTTTTATGTAACAAGTGAATTTATTTGGAAAAGTATATTTAACGTTTATATTATTAATACTTATATAGAAACATTGTTAAATTATTAAATCAATGTTAATTGAAATCACCTTAATTGTCTTAATTTATTAAATACTAGTTATTTAGTTTATAATTTTATTTTGTTTTTATTTGCAATTTATCTCTAAATATATTGATTAAAGCAAAGGATAAGACTATGAAATACATTAAATTGTATGGGAATTCTGTTGGGAATATTCCCATTCGACTATAAATTATACAAAGGTTTAATGGAATTTAATGAAAATTCAAATTAATTGTGAAATTTCAAGTATTTTTTCAGTTAACTATTCAATTGAAAAGTTTCTAAGTTGGAATTAAATTTGCAAATTAATTAGTAATGAATGAAATGTTTATCTCTCAAACAATAAACCCTGAACTTTTCAAAAACACTTAGCAAGTTAGTTTGATAGAATTTCATTATATATTGCTTAAAGAATTATCTATTCTTCATTTATCAAGGTAAATGTTTCAAAACTATTTTAACTAAAATTATTTGCCTAAAACATGTAAAAAGCTAAAATCCAAATTATTTTGTTTATTAAACAGAATATTCTGTTATTAATTAAGGCCTATATTAGGCATACAATTGATGAATAAATAACTCAAATAAATATTTTTGCAATAATTTTAAATTTAAAAATATTAATATTTGTAACAAAACTAAGTCCAATTTTATTGAACCGTATGTTTTGATGCAATGCTTACAACTGATACGAGACTTAAAAATAGTTTACAATTTTCAATAGGATTTCATTTATTAGCAAAACATTTCATTGGATTTCAATAAATAGTATTAACTTTTGGTTATTATTGACGGAAAAGCTTTGGATATAAAACTGATGAAACGTTAAGATTTTATATTTTTTATTTTTCCCATTGAATTGATAACAGGAAAGTTTTTGAGAGAGAGAAAGAGAGAGAGAGAGAGAGAGAGAGAGATTTGTAATATAAATGTATTTTTAAAATTATTTTAAAACTTTTCATTTGAAATCAGTGAACATAAATTATTTTTAAAATCTATTTCAAATAAATATATTACTTTTCAAATGCCTTATAAATAATATAAATGTGTTTTATATGAAAATATATTGCAAAAGAATATTCCATTAAAATTTACTATAAATCACAGAATATTCTGTCGATATATTACAATATGAATTGAGAAAGACTTTTAAAAATAATTGAAAATTATTAGCATCACAATTGATACAATAATTTACATGATAAATGTATTGGGGAAAATGTATTTAACATTTTATTTTCAAAATATTGTGAATAATGTAACTGAAAGTCTGACAATTGTATAGTAAATGTGGAAATAAATCTAAATATATTTTGATTTCAAATTCAACGAATATTTTGAATTTAAAAAATTCAATTCAATTTTCACTATTAGTCTCTCTCTCTCTCTCTCTCTCTCTCTCTCTCAAAAACTTTCCTGTTATCAATTCAATGGG